AAATTCTGTAAATCCGCGCAGCCCCGAGCCCGAGCGTCTCGGCCTCACCCCCGGCCATGGGGGTTACCTCCCGTTCATAGCCCGTGGGTGCCCCAGGTCCCCGGACAGAGCGGTAGGAAGCCGGGCCAGTCGCCTTTGGTTCTCTGTTCCATTCCCCACCCCCCCCTCCTTGAAATGAGCGTGTTTCTGTTACAAGGGTGAAGGTTAGTTAATTAATTGACCTTGACAGTGAAACTGCTGGAAGCGCTAAGTGTTCGCTTCCTCCGCTTCGTCACCCGTGGCTTCACAATTTCCTGTGGCCCGCTTTGTGTCCAAGGGATGCGGACACGAGCGCGCTGTGAGCAGCCTTCACTCAGCCCGTGTGTGAGGGTGGAGGGGCCCCGCAATGTCCGCAGCGTGGTTTTGATCTGAGGAGTGTTCAATGGGTAAAACTAATTGGGAAGACCAGGAGCAAGGGATAAAATCCTGTGCTTGTTGGCGTCCCCCACCTGTATATTCAAAGCCCATAACCACAGTGGTTGTTTGCCTGAGACTTTGCCCTGTTTGCCTCAGGTCTCTCGGCTTTGAGCGCTGCTCTCGGCTCGCCGCCCTCCCCCGTCCCAAAGCCGTACAGAACTCAGGCCGCATCTGGTGCCTGGGTTTGTTACCCATTGTCCTGCTGGTTGGGTTTGTCACCCTTTCTCCTGGGCCGAGCAGCAGATTTTTAAGATGTTTCTGCTCCGGGTGACCAAGCGGCTCTATTGTAGGAAATCAGCACGGCGGAACGAGCGGGATTAAAGGGTGTAGCATTGCCTGGGCAGCCTGTCTGGGGAGGAGGGCCCGAGGCTGGGCTCAGGCTCTGCTCTGGGCTGCAAGGACTGGTGTTTGTGCAGAGGCATTGAGCACTCAAACAAAAATGGGGTGTGCAGACACAGATCAGCTCCAGGTTTTCAGTTTAACACACACACACAAGATGCTCAAGAGAGATTTTCTGTCCTCTGAAAACACCCAGCTGATGAGCACGCACTGCTTTTCATCGTGCTGGGTTTGATGCAGGGCTTGTGTTTTGCAGGCAATGAGTGACAAGGAGGGTGCCAGCGAGGACGACTGGCTGGCTCTGAGGCCCCAGGAACCTTCTCCATCCCAGTGCTGCAGCAGCGGCTGCAAGCCCTGCATCTACGATGTGTACGAGAAGGAGCTTGCACAGTGGGAGAGAGCCAAAGCAATGCAAGACAAAAGCCTTCTCATGGGAAAGAAGGAGCAGGTCGATTTCTCTTCATCGCATCCTGGAGTCTGTGCTTTGATCGTACTCGTTCGAGTGTGGGGTGGTGGTGGTGTGTGAGGGATGCAGGGATAAATTCAAGTGGTGCCTTAAGAGAGGGCTGTAAATGCAATTCCCCAAACTCAGCCTTCTCCCTCCCCCTTGGCCACTCTCTCCCTGCTGTAATGTGATTTTCCAAGTGTAGAGTTCTCCCTGGTGTCGCATTACAGCTCTGGCTCTGCAGCTTCTCCTCTCTGAGTTTCCTCGGAGAAGCTTTGTTTTCCTCACCTTTCTCATCTCTGCCTGATTTTTAGACTCGTATTTTGATGCTGAGAAAACACTGCTTTGTGTGTGGTGGAGCAGTTGTCTTCAGAGTGTAATTTTAAAGCCTGTCAGTGCCCTTTTACATTAGATTAACTATGCTGGGTCAAGCAAAAAAGATCAGCTGAAACAACTGACAATATTTTCTGTTCACTGTGGCCATCAGCCGGTTGCAAAGTTGCCCCCAAAGCAGTGCTTGGCTCTTTTAGCAGAATTATTTCTGTTTATTTCCAGACACAAGAAAATGATCGCAGTGAGTCATAATAGGATGACCTTGCTGTAAGGTGTTAAAAAAAAAGTAATTTCAAAAGGTGGTGGTGGGGAGAAATGCAAGATCCCAAAGTGCACGCTGCAGAACATGATAATGAATCAGCAGAGAGCTGGAATTTGCGCCGGGCCTCAGTGTTTAATATACGTCCTGAGTATCTCTGGCACTAAATGAGCACACACGTTTGCTTCCAGAGAAAAAATGAAATAATAAAAGACACCATCTAACCAAGTAATTATTTATTGTTGTTCTTGCAGAGCAATAATTCAGAGCTGAATCCAGATACATTCACTGCATTCAGCGTGAGCTCAGTGGAGCAGCTGACAGAGGACACCTACCAGTACAAATTTGAATTACCGGGAAATAGCAGCCTGCGCTTGAGTTTAGGACAACATATCGTGTTAAGGTATTGTTCTCTCTGCTAGTTAAACAGTCTGCATTATGTAACCTAACACGTAGGGTTTTGTCAATAGACAAAGGCTTCATAGCAGGCAAATCATGATTTCTGTACCTCCACAATGACACAGATGAAAGAGCTCGTGAGCTCGCTGCCTCTACTAATTCTATGGTAAAAGCTGTGGTTTTCTTCAGCATTATCCCTGCGTTGGTGGCTCAGAAAGAACTAGGTGTGATTAAGAAAATACATTTGCAGAAAGAAAGATCTGAAAGAATAGATGTTACAACAGAATATTTACTCCAGCGTGTTGGAATGAAGACAATGAGCTGCAATTGCCCCAGAGCTGGGTATTTTAGGCCCTGTATCTTGGGGTAACTGAGCACCCCAGTACCCAGGCACTGCCTGACTGATTTCTAGTAAAACAACCCTCCTATGTAGTTTGCTGCTTGCCAGAAAGGGGCCACTTGGGGAAAGTTTCTGTCTCTCAGCCATCTGTGGTGATCATTGCCAGATAGAGAAAGTCCTGTTAGGATGCCATTGATGTGCATCTGTTGACGTCCCTGGTACGTTCAGGGCTGGTGTGTGCAGCTGGCTCTGCTGACAGCACACGCTCCTCCCTCCAGCCCTGGCTCATCACACTGCACACAAAAAGGTTTGGTCACTTCACTCAATGCCCGTGGTGAGCAGCAAGGAGCAGGGTGGATAATTCCATGGAAAAGGGAAGGCTTACAGGAAAATACAGTCTGTATTGACAAGGCCCGAGGTCAAGGCTGTGCCTTGGCTTTTGTTATTTGATTACAGATGCTGACTAGATGCAGAAAGTGACCCCAGCTCAAAAGGAACAGCAAACTTAAGTGTTTTCTCTCCCCTTTGCCACTCGTGCATGTTCTTACAAAATCCCTTTCAGGGGTGTGTCCAGGAGCTGGATGTGGTGCAGCTGAGGTCACCACTGGGAAACAAAAGATGCTGTTAGCCATTCTGTTCCCCCTGCATTTCTGCCTCTGGAAGGGAAATGTTTTGCATCTGTGCAAAGGCTGGGCCACTGGGCAGGGGACCTGTCTCCCAGAGAGCTGCAGGAGCCCCCCAAATGACCCAAATCACAGGAGTTCCCTGTTTCTCTTCTCTTCAGAGGAGTGGTGGATGGTCTGGAGGTCCAGAGAGCCTATACTCCAATTAGCCCCAGGAATGCAGAAGGTTACTTTGAAGTTCTAATTAAAGTAAGTAAGCCTGGACAATATGGATGAGAGTATAAAGTGTTTTCTTTAGGAACCAAGCATGCTGTCAGTGTTTCACATGAGACTCTCAAATCCTTCATGGACTGTTTCTCTCTTGTTTTGAAGCGTTTTTGCTTTGCTGATAAAAATTGCAGTTTTTGCCACAAAACTGAAAGCAGAATAAGTTGACACACAAACAAGTGCTCTGCAGCAGAAGCCCTGGGAGAGCCCCTGGATGGAAAGATGTGTCCATTCCACTTCTCTCCTTTCATTTTGCTTTTTCAGGCTGCCTTTGAAATCACACCCGTTTGTCAGCCCAGCTGAACCCCTGATTTTGGGAAATGTTTGCCCTTATCCTCCCCTCTGTATTTTACTTTAAGGACACCCCTCTGTCAGTGGGCAGCTGCCCCTGGTGTGCAGACAGGGCTCTGGAGCTGCAGTCTGAGAGGGACTTTGTGGCCCACAGGGGACACAGGTGTTCCATAGGCACAGGCTGCATCTCTTGAGGTGGACAGTGGTGGCAGAGCCCACAAATGTCCTCACCTTTATGGAGTCAACCACAAAATGCTGGTTGAGTTCAAAAGGATTTTATAGGAGATTTGGCTACAAATCTGTCTCATGTAAATCTTCAGGGTGCTCATAAATTATTATTTTGTGTGGCAAATACTGACTAGAACATTTTTCCAATACTGCATCCATATGTCAGTAGGGACTCCTCAGGGCAGACACAGACTTCAGTACAGGTGTGAAATTCAGAGTGGTGGGTATCCCAGGTGGCTTGCAGAGAAGGGCCACTTGTTCTCTGCCTGTCTTGCAGGATTTTGTGTTTCTGGGGTTTATTATGCATTGTATGTTCTAACACAAACCCTG